TTTTTTCTAGGATTTTTTTGCAATAATTATTGGGCTACTAGTTTGTAGTTATTAGGTTATTTTTCTATTCGAAAGTTTTGTTTTTAGCTCTTGAAGTTACATTTTAGCTCTAGAAACTCCTTTGGTGTTTTGCAAATTTCTTTTTTAATCCTTTCAAATGAATTTCTGTAATAGAATAACTAATCTAATTTTCGAAATTGAGAAGGCTTTAATAGCAATAACTACATGAAGCAGTCTTATTTTTGCAGCCAGGTTTAAAAAAAAAACAAGAGAAATGGTAAAGTCATTCAACTGTTAAGACCAGTAAAAAGCATCGAGCGCGCAACTGTCAATCACCTTTAAGGCTTCACAATCAAACGATTTGCCATTAAATTCATTTTTGGAACAGGGATTGAAGTTTGATACTCTGGTAACAAATCCTTCTGAAGTCGGGGCTCTAATTCCCACGCCGATTAGCACTCGCATTCCTTTTTTTACCCAACTAACAAATTCACCCCCCTTCCGCCCTCCTCTTTCCAACTACACTTTGACATATACCAGACGAAATTTAATGCGGCTAACTTTAAGGCAGGCTGCCAAGATGGATATCCCCAAACATGATACGTTTGAAGTGAAATAATTAAATTTGGATAGTTTTACTTCATCTTCCCAAAAAGTTCCCTATCAAGTTGGAATCGTCGACTTATCTGTGACGACATTGGTTTACCGACTTAGTCTAGTTTAGAATCCGTGAAATGTGTATTAGACTGAGCATTTCTTTATGTCACACTGCCTGAAAAGATTTCAGCACTGGTCTCAATAAATCACAAAATCGATATCTGATATTGAGCTTTGGCAATTCCAGCGAGAGAATCCGCGTAAAATTTATCGGTCTTTTTTCATTAGTACAATATAATCTCCCTCTGATATAAGCCAGAACAGCAAGTCACAATGTTCAATACTACAAAGTTTCAGTGCTCTAAATGCAATATTAACATCAACGCATTTTTTTAAAAGAAAAAACTGAGCACTTTATCAGTTTTGATTTAAAAATTTTCCAACCACCGACAATTTCAAACTACTAAATGAACGAATTCGCGTCGGAATACTCGCGTCCGTCCTCTACTAAATTCGCGTAACTAATTAAATAACAATGAATTTTCCTCGATACAAAATAGAATGATAATTCATATTTTTTGAAGAAAATGGCCAATTAAGCATCCTCATTTTGTTTTTTCTTTCGAATAAAAACAACCATTTAACTAGATATTTTGGACCTAATTTCCATCAAAAAAGTCTGGAGGATAATGATGCCTTGAGCTCAAAAGAAAGAAAATGTTTTACCTGAGATCATTCGGCTTTTGAAATCAAGCAAAAACAATTGACAAAACATCGAAATTGACAAAAAAAATTTACGAGAAATTAAAACCAAAAAATTTTTTCTTCACACTTTTTCAAAATTGGGTGAAAAAGTGAAATGATTCAAGCCTTAAATCAATATATTATTCTACTTTTAAACTTTTCCTCTAAATAGGAGAAATTTTCGTTACTTTTGCGGTACTTTTGCGGCTTTTGAAATCAAGCAAAAACAATTGACAAAACATCGAAACTGACATAAAAAAATTTACGAGAAATTAAAACCAAAAAGTTTTTTCTTCACACTTTTTCAAAATTGGGTGAAAAAGTGAAATGATTCAAGCCTTAAATCAACGAAAATGATTCAAGCCTAAAACCAAACGTAGCAAAAATGCGTCCTAATTTTTTGGAAACTCAATAGGGTTCATATCAAAGCTTACTTCTCGTTTTTTTCCGTCTTTCGAGCTAATGTCAAAAGAAAACTCCTGGGGATCTATTTAACGTTTGCGTATAAGTTACTAACTAAATCTTTATAAGTGTTTTCATATATATAATTATGAAAATAGTATGATAAGCAAAATCGAATCTGCAGAAAAAGTTTTTTTAGTCGCTAAATAAGTCTTACGAACAAAAAAAACTTTTGCATTTTTTTTTTGCATGTAAAATTTTCCGAACAATTTAGTACACGCAAAATTTATACATAAAATAATGAAGGGTCACATTGAAGGTTCATTGTGATCGCAGAATTTGTAATTTTCAGTTGAAGATGATAAGATACAACCTAAGCCTAACCGAAAAACAGCCACGATTTTTCAACGTCCGAGTTTTTTGAAACAGAGGGCTCGCAGCCAAATAAAAAAGTAGATATTGTTTGTTGTATTTTTGAGTAAAACTCTGTTTTTATCTGATTTGTCATCTAGTAATACGTAGTGATATCTACGATTCAATGCCGTTTAACCTGTTGGTTTTTTCATTTGAGAAAGTTTCTGGATTTTGAAATTCTGGGCAAATTACAAATAAAAAGCGAAACACAAAATCGTTGCAAGAACAAAATGGTTGTCATAAAGTTTGATAGTATAGAAATTTGCTTATGATACAGCTCCATTGTATGAAAAAAGAGCTCTTTATGTGATTTTCATACAAAGTTTTCATTCAATTGATTTGTATGAAATGGTATGATAATCATTTTTTAATAGGATGGAATTGTATGACAAGCATTTTTTCAACCTGCGCTAGCTTAAAATATCAGAACTCAAAAAATAAAAAGTGTCAAAATAAAAACTGTTATATACTATTAACTTATATTAAGCTTAGTTTATCTCATAATTTACAATTTTGGGCGACGATCAGTGGTGGGTGCACTCTATTAAAAAAATTGCTGGCTAATTGCCTGGTTGTTTAATTGTCAATTCTCAGACGTCAGAAATCAATTTTAATTTTAATAGAATATTTGTGCCGCATTTTTTTTTGAATAATGGAGCGTGCAAAATTATACAATTTGATTAGTTTATGACTTTTTTTTTTAAATCTTTTAGGCTAATCGTGCTTTACGCTAGTCAAGCAGTCACTCTCCAGTGTTTATCAGCGCTTAGGCAGCGGGAGAACTAGTCAAGCTAAGAATCATTCCAAAGTGAATTTAGACAAACCAATTTTTCCAAATAGTTTAGCAAATGATGTTAAAAATATCATTCTACTCAAGAATTTGCGCGCGTGTGGAGTTTTTCACAAAAAAATTATATTGTAAAGTTTTTGAAAATTTATTAAAACTTTATACAAAAAATCCTTACTATACGATAAAGGGCGTTTGGAAGATTCACCTTGATACGCGCAGTCCTTTTTTTGATAAAAAATGAAGTAATCATTGTTATCTGATCTTTTGTTATCTCCTTTAATCAATATTTGCTCGTTGATTTTAATTTTGAAACTAAACCAATTGATTCAAGCTGCAAAGAAAAAACGTGCCAATTGATACAACCTTGATGTTAAAGAGAGGTTTAAGAAAAAACGATTCCTTGTTCTTAAAAAAAACAAAGAGGAACGGCTGCTTTTCCGTTCCAATGTTATTTTTTCATACCACTCTAAAAAGAAAAACTGAAAATCTAGAAAAAACACACTAACGCCACAAATCAAAAGATTTTATAAGTCGTAGAAAAAATAACTGGAACCAAAACTGCATATCTTTTTCCTTTGAATTTATTACCAGTCATCTTTCTGTGCCAATCGTTGCATCAGAAAAACAAATTATTTTAATCTTTTTATGCGAGTTGTCTTTTCATAAGTGTCGTGGCTTTTTGCTTCAAACTGTTTCACGCCAAATCGTTTAATCAGCCGTCACAAAATTATTGGTGAGTTTCATTTTAATTCAACAAAAAACCAACAAAAGTATCTAGTTGCTAGGGAATAAGGAGGAAGCTTGAAAAATATCATCGTCTTAAAATAATAAAAGGAAAAGCTTGAAAAAGTTAAATTATATTTGACTTTTCAATTCATTTCGATAGACATTGACAAATAGTTCAAAAATTACTCCACCCAAGATATCAAAAGCGTCTTCAGGAACTTTCAGATTTTCATTTGTGTTTTTTTCCTACTTTATTTAAGCGTGGGAGAAATCGAGAATTAAACAGCTTCTTTTTTGTAGACATGCTTAAGATAAATTGCGTGCAATCGATTTTTTCACGGGGCGATAAGAGAAAGGTAATAAAAAGCAAGAAAAACATTGAAAATCAGACAAAACATAATTCAATCATTTTCGCTTTTCACCACATTTTATACAATTTGAACAATTCATTTCGAATAATTCACGGAAGAAGCTTTAATGCGATATCCCTTTCCAACTCATACGAGTTTGTTTTGAAAGCTAGATTTTGTCCAAGAAAACAAAAACGCACCCAAATTTCATGAGATTACAGTGATGCTAGTTGAATTGTAAAACCGATTCTAACACGCAATAAGTCTGTTTTCGAATTCAACTAACAAAGCCAAGGCTCCTAATAATCTCAAAAAAATTTGCTGCGTTTGTTTTTTTTTTGACAAAATCAAATTTTCTAACTAACCTATTGAACGCCTGAACCTAACCGGCTTAAAATTCGAAGGTTTATTATTGTTTTTTTTTCTCCCTGAAATTTGAAATTTCCATGATAGGTTTTTTTTTTAAAATAAAACGATTTTTTCCTTCTTCCGTTAGCGTGTTGAATAAGTAAACCGCCAAACTGGTTCTGTATAAAGAATAACACCCTATGCAGATAGCAGGCTACCTTGATTCAATAATTTTTAAATCCAGTTTTCACTTCGCCCGACCGAACTGTTATCTATTTTTATCCGGAGGGCAAAAGTAACAACCCCCCCCCCTCCCTCCCTGTGAAGCAAAGGAGATTAATTTATAAAATGATGGAGCTTCGCAATTAAATCTGATAAAAAGAAATCTCGACAAAATATTTTTTTAATTTTGTTTCCCTGTAAATTAATTTGTGATTCTGCGTTGTTATCGCCGAAAAACTTATTGAATTTTTCTTCAAAGAAGTTAATTTTTATTATTTTTTTCATTTTTATGGCTGATTTGTGGCAGCTAATTTGAGAATGGTCATTTTTGAATTAAATGATTTCCTTTCATTTGTGTTGAAACGGTTGCCGTTTTACCCAAAAATCACCCTTCCAATTTGTTTCAGGGCGCCGTTATTTCCCCACATTGGGACTTGGAAATAAACAATTTCCCTCATTTTTCCCGATGGATGAACGAATCAAAAGCCCGCAGTAGCAATTCCCATTCTATTCTTTATTTCCCAACTGAAAGTTCCGCCCAAGCAGAAAACAATTTTGGCCAGTTTTCCCATTTTACAGTCCCGCAAATGGCGCTGGAAACCATAAATGTCAGTTCCACCAACGATTCTTTCGACCAAAGTCAGACCCCGCCGGGACCCGAACCGTGGACCTGGTTCAAATTCCTCATCGAAATTATCTGTTTCACTTGCGGACTAATCGGAATTCTTGGAAACTCTTTAGTGGTTACAGTCTACTTTCGGAAAACGCGACGAAAGGCGACTGAGATTCTAATTTTGTGTCTCAGTTGCCTAGACTTAGTTTACTGTATCTGCAATAATGTGATTCAAGTTCTGATCATAATGATGGGGTTCTATCCCCCGTCGGTTCTTGTGCAAGACATTATCGAGTTCATTTTGAATTTCCTTTTTACTTCGTTACCTTACATGTCTTGGCTTATGATTCTAAACATAACTTGTAATCGCTACATTGCAGTTTGTCACCCTTTCAAATATTCTCAAATATACACTCTGAATTTCGCCAAAAATGCAGTGCTGGCCATTCTTCTGTTCTCTGTGGTAATAGCAGTTCCCTTCTTCTTCAAAGCCTGGATGTCCAGTGGCCAAATTGAAATTCTCCTCCAGGCATACCAGGGCATGCGTGCATTTCTAGTGGCTGTAGTCTGTTCATCGATGCTCATCATGTACTCCAGGTAAGTTACCAGCGAAACAATTGTAGACACACTTAAAAGTTGACATATCCTGCGTCACTTTATTGCTAAAAAAAGATTGAGCAAAACTAGAAATCATCAAAAAAAATTATCAAAAAATTAGTTTCAGATACTGCAATATTATATAGACTTGGTTCACAGTCTGACCGCTTACGTTTTATTTTCGTCTTACTTTAGAAAACAAAAATTGTGAGCAATATTTAAAAATTGATGAAAAATTATCATAGAAATTTACTATTCATTTTTGGCTGACGGATTCTTAAATTTTTGTAATATATACAAAATTTGAGGGGGAAGCGCTCGCCGAAAAAATGCAATTTTTAGGTCAAAGTTTTCCAAAATGCCCTTTTTTGGCCTGTTAAATTTTTTCAAAATCTGGCCAGCGGCGGAGAAATTTTGGTCAAAATCGGGTCTTTATAATGATTTGTGAAAGCTCGAAAACTAAAATTGGTCGGCCTAAAAAAAGATCGATAAGACTTTGAAAATGTTTTGAAACCCACTCTTGAGAAAATCTTTGATCCGCCCCTGGTTTCTACCTAAAAGTTTCTAGCTCCTAGAAAAAAATTTAAGTAAGCCATGAAATTTTGAGTTTGTATTATCTTCCATGATTTTGAAACGGTTCCCATTTTACCCAAATTTCAAGCTTCCAATTTTTTTCAATGGTTTGACGTAGTTTCAGTTAACGTATATATTTATCAGAAACGACAATGATTTAAGCAAGAAATAAGTGGTTCCGCTTTTATTTGACCAAAAAAATTACAATCCGTCTGTATATTTTACAATCAGGCCGAAAAAACTCTGAAAACCGGAAATGTAAATATGAACTGAAACTTCAGCTTCCAGTTTTGCATGTGTCGGAAATATTTTCCCACGCGTCATTGACTAGAAGCAAACATCTGATCGGATACGTTTCAAATATTGTTATTATGAGCCCAGTTTGACCTCCAAACACGAAAAATAATGGTTATACAGTTTCAAATGTGAAGTTTTGAAAAAATGATAGTCAAACAATTTCATGCCATGAAATTTTATGGCTCTTTTTTTCCAAAAGAAAAACTTTTTCTTCTACAACAATCAAAATTTTAAGAGTTACCCGCACTCAGTAAAAAGAGAAAATAATCGATTATTATAATTATTTTTGTACTTTTATCAAAATTAAAATCAATTATAAGCGCCAAATTTAGATGTTTAAACAATTTATTATCCTTATAAAGACAATATTTTTCGTGACATTATAAAAAATTATAATCAAATATAATTGATTATAATTTTTCCGAAAATTTCTATTAAACTCTTGCAATCTCTTATAATCTATAATAATAATATCTTATGACCTCTATTAATCTTTCATACTCAATTATAGTTTTTTATAACTGATTATGATTTTTTCTGTCAAAAAACTTAAAAAATGAGATGTTCGGTCACTCTTTGGTTTATCTGAACACAAAGTTTTACCACGAAACAAAATTTTCATAGAGATCCCTTCATATTAGTTGAAAGAACCCCGCGGTAGGTGAAATATAACTCTTTTATGTATTAATCATGAAACTAAAGCAGTGTGCTGATATTTTGGTGGTCATAAAAACTCTGAATGTGCATTATAAAACAATTATAATTAATAAGAAATTGAAAAAAAGCGTTTTAAATTTGAATTGATTTGAAAACCGTTAAAACAATTGTCCATTTTTTAATAAACCAACGTGTACGAAAAGCATAAAACATAAGCAAGTTCAGGTAGAAGGGCGATAACAAAATGGGCAAACTAAAAAGATTATAAATAATTCTAATCGATTTTAATGGATTTTTCTGCGAAACAAATAAATTAGAAATTCTGTTTATAATAATCGAATATAATCGATAATAAGGTATTATAATTGATTATAGTTGATTTCAAAGAAGGAGATTATAATCAATTATTAATTGACTAAAATGAATTTTTTCTGAATTTTGGAAAGACTGGTACTAAAATCATATTATAATCTATTATTAACGCTTGAAACTCGATGCGGGTAAGTACAAGTACGCAACTGATACGCGAAACGTTTTTAAAACTAAATTTTGAGACTAGAAACTTTTTTTTTGTTGAAACCACTAGTCGTAAGTTTTATACTATAAAATTTTTATGAAAAGCCTTTTCTTGAACATCCAAAATTGGGGAAAAAAGCATTTTAATTATGCAATAAAAAGTAATTTCCGAAAAAAAAATTGTATGAAAGCTGTAATATTTTGTCTATAACGTAGTCCAGATACAGTGTTTTCATATTTTTTGCAAAAAGGAAACAACCTTCAGAGAATGGGCTTTGTTTGACCCAATAAACCGATAGTTTGTCACAAAACAGGCATCAATTCACAAAAGTTCAAATGTGGTAAAACGTAGTTTTCTTTTCGTGTCAAAAAAATAATTGCTTCTTAATTTGAAGAAAAAATGCTATTCAAACACTTCTATATAAGAAAAGATTTATCATAAGCTGTATACAATGAAACAATGCTAGTTGTAGCGTGTGAAACGTAGCGTGTGAAATTTTTTAGACGTAACAAGTGCTTGTTCCACAATTGTGCAAATATTTGACAAGGCATTTTTTGTCGACCCGGGAGCTCAATTTTTTGCAAACATCATGGTTCTTGAAAATTGTTACTTTAGTCAATGAAACAACTGTTATAAAAAAGACAATATATGTTTCGTTATATCAACGCGGCAGCGTCGAGTTTATTCGGCTAAGAAGTCGTTCTAAATTAATTTGAGGTAAGCTATTGAGTCTCATTAACGCGCAAAGAGACGCAAACAAGTTTTTGTCCAATAAATAGAGTGTTGTTCTAAAGAATTATCCAAAAATAAAAATTTTAAAAATAAAAATCTAACATTTTCCATAATTTTCAAATTGCTATCTTTAAGATTATCAAAAAAAGAGATATTAGACTTTGAATAATCATAATAAATTGTTTCAAAACGATAGCTATTTACAGAGTTATTTATGAAAGTTTTCAAATAAAAATTGGAATCGTTTGGGAGAACACCAAGAAGAGCTGTCGGAAGTTTCAGGGGTTTTATTTTTAAAATCATGCACAATTTGATGTGCTCTGGTATCCCGCGGCATTTATAATGAAGCACTTGAATGATAAATTAGTTAGATCTCGGTTGTTTTTAAACTGTCCAATTTATTTTCAAAAGTTACGCGTCATAAGAAGTTCTCTATTTTTCATCTAAGCATGCACCCAAAATAGAACTTGGCTGAGGAGTTACTCAAGTGATTTTATCGCGTCATTTTAGGAATATTTTAGAGTGTTGAATAACGAATTCAGTTCTCACTCACAATTATTGCGTCAATTTTTCTCCTTCTGTTTTTTACATAATATGTGTGCATTTTTTTTCTTTCGCAAGTGCATGGGTTCGGCCGACTTCTAAACGCTTTTTAAGCCCTTTTAAAGCCAAAAGGGGGCGAGTTACGCTACCGATCAGGAACGGAGTTAGGGGCAGGGGATGCGCTGCGGACCCCCCCCCCCCCCTCAGGGATTTGACCCCCTCACCAACCAAAGGGCCCAATTTTAGTATTATTTTATGACATCCAATTTATCCAAAATGAACTAATTTTGCAGTGGAGCGCGCGCCGAAAAAACGAATTTTTTCATCAAAATTTCCAAAAAATTCTCCCAAACTTGATCTGCAAGCTACACAATTTTGGGGTGTTCTAATATTTGTTGTGCCCGATGCATCAAATTTTTTTTTTCTATTTACTAAGAACTTCCAATTTGTTATAAAGATGATTATTGAGTCCCTATTCTGCGTCATGGAATATTTGAAATGCTTGAAAAGTTTTTGTACCAAAAACTACTACAGAAATACTACTTGGAAAAACTTGATGAGTAACTAATAGTTTTCTAGCAGGAACTTTTTCTTCAAGGAGAAGCTCTGGGATGAAGGAATGCCTATGGTAGAAAAAACTGTGCTCAAAATTGGACGGAGAACGCAAATTTTTTCATGCTTTTTTGTTTCAAGACTCGTCCAAGATTTATATTCTTCATTTTACAAGATCCTTGCAAGCGTTGCTTTCCATTTGCAAAAATCAAGCAGGTTTTTGCATGCTAATGCATAAGTAGTTATAAAAGTTTCCCTAAAGCGAAGGAAAAAAATAACTAAAAGTTGCACCGATGCATTAAAAACCAAACTTTCTAAAGGTATGATCGTTTTTCGAAAAGTTTTCAAAATAATCAGGCTTCAGTCACAGTTTGATAAAAAATATTTTCGATACTAACCATGTTTTTACCGCTAATTAGTCATTGTTTATAAACAATTATTGGCGCAAAAAGAATGTAAAAGCTTGCAAATTGAAATATGCGAGTGAATTCCATGAAATATAAACCAGTGAAATATCTGCATCGTTAAAAGTTGCGAATCGTGCAAAAATCTTGCAAAGTCTTTTGCAAGTTTTATTTTTTGAAATGAGGAAGCAAATCTAATAAAAATCCTGTGAGATTCTGGCAAGGTTTATATTCCGATTATGAATCTTGCGCACATTCGAGATTGAGGTAATATGTTGCGCCAGGCTCTTTTTTGCGACTCAAGGCCGTTTTTTTTGTCTAGAACTTTCAAATTACGCTATTAATGCAGCCATTTCTAAAACTGTACTAAAAGCGTAACGTGAGTTGCTTAAAAATTGCGAATCACCTCACACCTAGTCAAGGCGCGAGTCTTGGTCAGGGTTTTTGGCTGTTTGCTCTTTGCAGGCTTTCCTTTACCTCCTCACAATTGCATCTTTTAATGATAAAAGTTTTTTAAAGTTCCCACCTGGATTTGGTCCATTGTTGTGCTGCGTTTCCATCACACATGCATCTAACTGTGCCAAGCGTGCTATAAAAGTTCGAACACAAATCAAACTTTTACATAGCGAGCCACACGAACGAAAGACAATAGATTTGTAGATTATGAGTCCTGCGGGGACGCGAAACAGCCTGATGTATTAGTGCCAATTCAATCATTTGGAACA